CCCCCCCCCCCCCTTTCGAGCTGTGAATGGTTACGTGACATCTTGAACTTTTGTGCATGGTCCTGTTACGAAACCCTGTGACGCAGACGGATAGAGGGCAGCGGCTGCCAAAGCATCGAAACGTGCAAAAAACGTATGGCGAGCCAGGAAACGGGATTTTTCAAGGGGAGGGGACTCCGGGGTGGGTGAGCTACTTATAGTCGGTGAAAAGCTGGAGTGAGCGAAGTCACAACGGCCATAGAGTGCCATGCGGACGAGAGAGTGCAGAGAAAAAGAGAAGATCGACGCGTTCAAAGGGATTGAGTTCAAGTTGTCCGTAGACCGCAATGAATAGGAGCTGCGTCAGTCGCATGCCCGGCTCCGCCCTACACGAATATTGGAATGCCCTTTTAAACAATGAAAATGTCCTTACAGGAATACACTCCTTCAGACTTATTGGAATGCCGAAAAATGGCGGTTTAACAAAATTTGAAGCAGTAGCCTTCTCATCCCATTCAGCAGCCCAACGTTCTGCTTCCTGTAATCACAGCAGTTAACACTCATTCTTCTGCTGATAAAACGCTTATAATGTTCAGAGTGAAAAGGAAAGTTTGATATAGTGAAAAAGTAACCTAACAAGTCTATACCTTAATGAAGAGCGTGACACTGTTTGTTTTTGCGTGCGCTAGGAGGGCCTTGTACTGGTACGTACGCAACACTTCCAAGCATGTTACATTTCCCTTCCGAAGATTTTCTGCAAGAAAGATATGAAAGAGCTAACTCTCAACGAAACGTACTGCTTTATCCTTTAGTTTCCGATGGTAGAATCAGAATTTTTCTAAGAAGCCGGAAACCTACCGAAGGCACAGCAGACGCTCCTCATAGTGCCGGAGATGCAGCCCGGGTACTTAGAATTAGGATGGTATACTCCTTGTTCTTGCGCTCCTGCTCATGAATCAGTAACGAGGAGGGACTCGAATGAGAATGGTGGAACAGCTAGGAGTTTCCGCCTAGGTGCCCCGCGTGGACTGTACAGTCCTCATCATTGCGGACTGTCGGAGGGCGGCTGTGCAACGCGGTCCAAATGGGCGTTCGGCCTCGTTGCTCTACCAATGGCGATCGGGTAAAGATCGATTTAGGGAGGGAGCAACCAATGATGGAAACGCCGCAGGTGCGAGCCGCTGATTGCGACCCGACAATTGCGGTGATGTTAAGTATGTATTAGGTTGATGCATATGTTTCTGGCCCCTGTTTTGATCCTTCCGTATTTCGTTTGCATGGATGTTGGTATTTCGTCATCACGTGTGCGTGACGTGTACATGATACTCTTTCATCACACTAGCTATCACTCACCCACCCTGCATTTGCAGGCCACAATGCCGCACAATTACCACTGTGAAATCATGTCACAGTGCGCCTTCTTCAAGTCCCAGCCCCCGTCGTTCTGGAAGGATGGAATCGACAAGCTGCCTGAGCGTTGGCGTCGAGTAGTGGATGGTGATGGTGCATACCTCTAATCTTCAGGCTGGTCGCTATTGAGATATTTACAAAAAAGTCGGGGCCAAAAACATACAGTCCTCATCACTGCGGACTGTCGGAGGGCGCTGTGCAAACGCTGGTCCAATGGTTGGTTTCGTCTCTGCTCTACCAATGGCCATCGGGTAAAGATCGATTAAGGCGAGGGAGCAACCCACATGATGAAACGCCGCCACTGTGCGACCGCTGACTGCGACCAACATTCGTATTAAGTGTATGCATCAACCTAATACTTTACCGTTGCTGGTAATGCGTAGTTACGGACAAATCTACGAGCTGGCGTCTGCAACGCCCTCTCCTCCATTCCAGTGAGGGTCAGTGTATATTGCTCTCGTACCTAAGGTGTTTACTTACCCCTTCAATCGGTAATCAATCATTTTGTGTGCTTTCCCGATTGAAGGAACTCTTATAGCTTCAGGATCGGCACCATACCCATCAATCAACAAAAGGAATCCGACCGAATATTCAGTTCGGAAGGGAGGTTGGTCATGAAGTGGCTGGAGGAAGCAACATGCAAAAGCGGCATCATAAGGGCATCGTTCTTGCAAAACTGATTAATGTGTAAGTGTTACTCTGTCGGGTCAACTAGCCAGGAGAGACTGGCTAGTTTCACTGGCTAGTTCGCTAGTGCCGGCGAAGCTTAAATCTCGGAACCCTACCTAGGCAATTATCGCTGGAAACTTATCCACTTGAAAAGTTTTGTCAACCTCCCGAAGCCGAAGCGAAGCCACAAAATATAGTCCAGCTTAGTCCGAGCCGGGCTGTATATTTCTGTGTCTGTCACACATATTAGGTTCCACTTCTCATCCCCACTTCTCATCCATCTATGCTCTCGCAGCAGTTGCCGCACTCATAATTATGCGCATGGAAACACCCCTTTTGCTTTCAGATATAGAGCACACTTGAAAGTGTGTCCTGTCTTCTTCTATATGTATGTAGCTCTACGTTTTCTAGTTTTTTCTCACCCCCCGCCCACTTCCGCCCTTTCCTTTCTTGTGCTTTACTCCTTCTGATTATATGGTCCGTTCTGCTTATTTAGAGAACTATGAGTAATGGTAAGAAACACATCCCTATGTGTTTGTTTGGTTCGTCATCGAACTTAAAAGCAATCGTCTCAGCTTGGTAAACAATTTTACGATCGTAGAAGTCGCCCATTCAATGCGTGGCCATGAAACGAATATATTTCGAGCTGTTACAAAAAGGCCATTCAGAGTTTTCTCGTATAGTTCTCAAAAACTATACGGAATAATTTCAGACACGAGAATTTTGGGAAACCTTCAAAGACATAATCGACACAGATTTATGGATGGGGCCTGGGCCTACCACTGTCCACCCGTAATGTGTCCCTCTTTTTGACTACCTTACGAGAAAGGGGCACGCTAATTAAAAGGCCGCAATGGAAGTTATAACTCTGCCCATAAAGTCAACGCGTGCTGCGTTTCAACCGAATATGTTCAAAAGTCCTTCAACCAGCAGCACAAATACACCTACGAAACAGGGTTCAGAAGATAGACCTACAAACCCCTTTCAAGGCCCACATTATTTTCAAAAGGCCTTCGACAGTAGCAGCTCATAC